TTTGACTTCACATCACAAAAAGAAGGTTTCTTCTGTCCTTTGCAGAAGTCTTTTCTAGTATTTTTTATATTTTACTGCTAGCCCCTGGGTTTTGGAAAGGCATCTGGTCAAATCTTGGCATTTCATAACATTTGAAAATGATAAATATTCTTTCAAAAAATGCCTGATTTTCAATGAAAGCGAAAGGCATTTAGATCTCCTTCAACACACATTTCCTTGACCTGCTGGCTGTACATTTGTGTGCGTTAGTTTTGCCTGGACCTAGAGGTGCATTCACAAGCTATATGGGTCATTGCAGTCATGATGTATCCCTGCCTCACGGACATTACCATTTGACACGCGGGACAATAGCAAACCCTAGGGATAAAACAACAAATTGGTTTCAAATAAAAGTGCAAAACAGAGCATAAAGGTCATGAATATGTAATTAATAAAGTAACTAGCATTTACTTTTTATTTAATATTATAAAGAAATGTGTGAAAATGGAGTCGCATTTACAGTTTTTAGAGGAATGGCATGGTGTAAGCACGATAATATAGATGTTTTAAGCATAGGAAAATACTCACTATTTCACCTGACTGCATACTGGCCATGAAGTCATACCCTTTTCCCACAGAATGCTAGAATTCGGAATCTAAGATAGATGACTGTATGTTTTGGATCAAATTTTTCTTAGTAGATGTGGGGGGAGGTAATACCTTTTACCTGTACCTACCTTTCCCCCTTGAAAATATTATACGTTATGATCATACTGCAATATTGCATATTTAAAGTTGTCTATGTTAAATATGAACCTACTATTCAAAAATTGGCATCTTGGATTCTAGTACGAGTGTATTTAATTGAACAACTTAATGAGAGGCTTATTCAGGAGACAGTGATGTAATGGAAAATTTCTCCTTTAGGAGACTATATAGTCATAGTATGCACATGTATATATCTCAATGCAGTGTACCAGTCATTTAACAACATCCATATTTATAAATAGATACTGGCATTTTTTGTATATAAATTGATATCATCTATCTTGTCAGTCCAACTGGACCCTGACCATACTCTCCCTATACCATGGTAAAATTCACAGAATTTTTTATGAACTAAAGGAAGAATCATTCGTCATAATCACTACCTGTTTAGGAATTCAGAATACATAGCACTGGTATCATAAAATAACAGTCCACCAAATTAAATCATAAATATTCATATTTTATGTGTGATGTGTTATGTCTGTAGTAGAGTTCCCAGATATGCGCAGAATTTGTTATTTCTATTTTCAGATTGAATAATTACAGCGTCAATATTTATTGTACAATTTGCATGTAATATTGCAGCTATGGATGATGGCAGTTATTAAAATTATTGCTGCCATTTCTATTTCCATCAATTTCCGGCTTTCATAATTCTCAAAATAGAAAAATAAGCATATATTCTCATCTTTACTTCAATGGCATTTCTTTCTAAAGAAAGCAGTGAGGATTCAGTTTGGCATATTCCTCAGTAATAACAAATGTAATTAATATTTTGGCACTTTTGACGTCATTAGAGTTGCCATGAATTTCCTCTATGTCTGAGTGCTATATCTTGAGTTAGTGTACCAATCGTTCAAATAGAACTGTTATCTTGGATTTATTTGCAAGGTTTTTGCTGGCGTCAGTACCTACTGGGTAAAACTTCCGTTCTAGTCTTGTGTGTTGATTATCACATTTTCATGAGGAGTTAACATGCTGTGTTTTGAGAGGGTTGCCACTAAGTGAAATATCATGGATAAAATCTTCTACCTAATATGAAATAATATGGCAATGAGATGGCTTTATATGTACATGAATGGGAATGTCTGTAATAAGACAATGGGTGATTTTCTCACGTTATTTTAATTTTTACAAAAATCACCTGTTGTTTAGAGGATTTTTTAACTGCTTCCGTGTTGAAATTCTGTCCTAATTTTATATTTCTAATAATTTGGTTTTATTTCCATTAATTTTATCTGTTATCAGAAATTTTAATAAAACCCCTGGGTGTATAGATTACCCTTACCTTAGGATTATTGCCCTCGATTTCCCCTCATCAGAATATGTTCAGGAATAAAATGAGAAGAGGTTAGAGTGCCACACTGAGTGGCTTGATTCATGGTTATTGTAATGAGTCAATCTGGCAGCTTTTACTTAAATCTGGCACTTAGATTTGTCAAATCAAGACTGTATGTCATCCCATCCCTAAAGAAAAAATGTCCCAGGAACAATAATCAATTTATCGAAATGAGCATTCAGTACTTAACAAGTTTGTTAAACAGGAAGTTTAGAACAAGTATATGAACAGTAGGGTTCAAAACAAATTGCTGCCTGACTGGCAACCACTTTTCTCTCTTGACAATGGACTATGAAAAACTGGTTGTCATTTGGGCAATAGACTGAATGCCAATATCACTGGTATAGCGTCATATACGCATAAAACGCCATGGCATACTCTCGAAAGTTTATTTTTAAAAAACAGGTTTGTGTAATTAAATTTTGGATAAAAGTGGCCAATAACTTACATTTTTATTAAGTCTATTTAAGTCGGAATTTCGTGTTTTAAAATGTCCCAGAACGCTTCAAATACAATCTTATTTTCAAATTTTCATTCCCCTAAAGCTCATTCGCTTAGCTCACTCATGGATTACAAAATATCCATGCTACCCCCCACTGAATATGTTTAATTGTGGCAATCGTGTTTTCATGAATGCTGTTAGCAGTTCTGGAGAAGGTAAAAGTAAGACAGTATTTATAAACAAGCATGTACTTTAAGCAACATTTGACTTACATGCTTGAAGTACAAGAACATACATGTATATTACTTATACTGTGAATTATCTTCTCTCATCCAATTCGAATCTTATTAGAAAGGATGAAGCCAATTATGCTCGATGATAAATTGTTACATATCTTGAATTGTCTGATGAGAAAACAAATCTGTCTTATCAAGTTATAATGAAGGTCTCTCACAAGGGAAAACACTATCATGGTAAACAGGCCTTGTAGACTCACTTATACGGTCATCAGCTCTCTGACCTCATTCCCAAACCACATTGCTCACAATGGGAATATCGATTCACCAGGTCCTTTCTTCCAAACTTATCTAGAAATGAGATGTCATGGTTTACCATGATGAAAACTACATATTAAAATCTTATATATACAGGGTGTCCCGAAAGTATGGGGCCCCCCCTAGGCAGACATATTCCAGTGTCCTCATAGTATGTGTCGTATATCATTTTAAAGCTTATCCAAAGTTACATTGATTTGCCAAGTATCATGGTTTAACTCCCAAATCGGAAAGAGTTACAGTCATTTTAAAAGTTAGTGTTTTGTCAAAATAAAGTTCAATTTTACACCACATTACTAGTCACTGTGTCCCCCCTTGGACATGTTAACAGCAGCAATTCTTTTCAGATATGACCTTACAAGCCCTTCAAATAGGGGTGTGGAATTTTATAACCCTCGTAAAACCTGTTAAGGGACTTTAGAAGAGTTTCCTTAGAGTTTCTACCCTCACCGTTCTCTTTTTCCAACTCAATATCCATCCGACCCGAAAAGAATTGCTGCTTTTAAGATGGCCCGGGAGAACACATTGACTAGTGATTTGGTGTAAAATTGAACTTAATTTTGACCAAACACTAAATTTTGAAATGTCTGTAATTTTTTCACATTGAGAGTTGAACCATGATACTTGGCGAATCAATGTAACTTTGGATAAGCTTTAAAATGATATATGACACATACTGTGACGACACTGGTATATGTCTGCCTAGGGGGGGGGCCCATACTTTCGGGACACCCTGTATATGTCTATTCAGTCAATGAAGATATCATTTGTCTCTTTTATTAAACAACAAATTTGGTTAGGGAATTTCTGCTTGAATCAGGCAATATTCAAGAAAATGATTTGAAAATTATGTAAGCACAGATTGTCTAGTCTGAACTTACCTAAATGCAAATATATCATATAAAATGGGTGATATAAACAACTATCATGTCCTAACTAAAATCCTGGTGATGGATGTAACCTTTAAATGGCAGGAATGCAAAAAATGGAAAAGCAACTCTGGCATGTCCTGGGGTGAAAGACAGAATTTTTAATACAATGCTTAGATTTGGATAAATATTGTATTTCTTGTTTTTTATAGATTATTAATCAATAATCCCTTGTATATTATGTCGTGTCATTCCTATATGAATGGAATCTGAAATCAATATACACATTTATATCTATTTCAGTTTCTCGATCAGTGGTATTGTTTCACAGTCTCAGAACAGTCATATAGTCGTGCTAGCTATATTCACTCATCTACCTAGTGTCAATGAAATCTGTGATATTTTTATAAAAATATCATTGCCTGTTTGAAATGTCACATAAACAAAACATATGAAGAGTTAGTCTAACTTTGCTAGATTTGAACCCCGGAAGTTCATTTTTATGTCACTACCACAAGTGGTGACATTTTGTAGACAGTGTTCAGTGGTTGATATTTGGTAGGGTTTGGCATCTGTAACAAATGGTAGGTGGTGATATTTTGCATCTTAATTCCTTGTTTTATTGTGCTAGACTCTTCAACTGACTTATGGAATATTGGCTTACTTCCTAAATCAATCATTTTTGAGCTCTGTTCATAATATTTCATGGTAGGGAGATTCAAGGGCAGAGATTCAAATGTGAGAAATTCAAGGGCTAGCAATTCAAGAGCCATAATCCTCAAAACAATCTATTTAACTGAAATAAACTTACAGGAATTAAGCTTTGATAGAAAATTACACATGATTTTGCTTTACCAAGTATAGTAAAACTTGATTTATATCCAACTCTATATAATTATTATTCTCAAAGGTAAATTGGATTTTTATGATATATAAATATGTACCGAATTATCTTCAGTTGCCAAGATGTGACAGAATAATATAGTGACATTAAAATGACCATATTTCTGATATTGTATATTAATTAAATTATACATGTATAATTGCAGTTATATGTACTGGACTGATTGGGGTGAAACGCCAAAGATCGAACGAGCAGGAATGGATGGCAGGCAGGAAACACGTGAAGTCATCATCAATACAGAGATCTATTGGCCAAATGGTTTGACCTTGGATTACGACGCAGCCAAAATATTCTGGGCGGATGCAAAGCTGAGCTTCATACACAGTTCGAATTTTGATGGTACAGGGCGAAGCACAGTTGTTGAAAAGTCATTGCCGCATCCATTCGCTTTAACCCTTTATGAAGATACCCTCTACTGGACAGATTGGCAGACCCATTCTATACATTCATGCAATAAAAATACTGGCTTGAATCGCCGAGTGATCCATGATAATATATTCTCTCCCATGGATATTCATGTCTATGCAGCTAAAAGGCAACCAATGGGTAGGTCTATTCATTTTTCTTTGAAGTAATAAAATATTTTCAATTCTTAGTTTGGTCTTAGGTGTTTCAAAACACACCATAATGTAAACCATTTCGAAAAATGTAAATTTTACAATTTGCAAGGAATATGGTTGTTATGACCAAAGACCTACTAGAAGAAATATCAGAAGAAAAATAAATCAGTTGATATTGCTTTTTGTAATCAAACTTGTATAATATATTGCCTTAGTTATCTAAAGTCTCGGCCTAGACCTGAATTATATCATTTGTCATGTGCAAATCTGATCTGGGCGTTTAATTTCTGCTTTCCAAATAAGGAAATGCAAGGATACTTGTCAGAGAGTGTTCTGTAAGAATTCATGCATTTTCGCAATCTCAATTAGACTGTTTATAAATGTTCATGATATGTGGTACCTGATTTATTTTGTTGGGCCCTAAAAATAAATGTGTAAATTATGCTTCATTTTCTCTTATATGTAACTTGTGTTAACTTGACCTCAGCTACCTTATATCATATTTCAATGTTTTTATTCGCAGAGGTCCATAATACCGGAGGTATAAACATTTTTCTTTTTATGAATATTTTACCATATATTTTTCACCATGTTGTTTTCACTTTATATGTGCGTGTGTTCCACATTTGTTTTTACTGAAGGGTATTTCAACAATGGCCACCCATCTAAAAGATAAAGACTCAAATTATAAGATTTTCAACTGTAAATTGCAAAGACATACACACTGTGGATATCCTTAGTTTGGACTTTTATAAGATGACTATTCTATTCTCAAAAAAAAACATCTTTGTTCAAATTAATCTTGGTCTGATGAGTTGAAGTTGAAAAAGCATTTCAATTATTGAATATGTCATTTTGAAATACCCAGAAGCTGTTATGTTTACGTTTTGTGTGTTTCATGTTATGGTTGTACTGTGAAATGAGTTCTACCATACCATTTCATTTGCTTACATGTACAAAATGATTATCACACGGTTTCTAGGTACAGCATATACTTGCACCGCCACATTCATTACAAGAGTTAGCAAACCTTAACACCTTTAGTTTACTAGTTTTGCATCAACTCCTGCTTCTCTCCCATTTTCTTTATCTCAGAGAGCATGAGGAGGTTACATGGGGTTGTTGCAAGACTATATTGAAAGGTCCTTTTCAATACCTCCGCTGTGTTTCCCAATTTGAATTTAATAACAATCTAATGTGATTATTTCCAAATCAAATATAATTATTATCAAATATGATTATTATTTGAAGTTTTTTGATTATTTTATGATTAAATACATGTACATCCTTGATTATTTGACAGTTTTATATGATTATTTGATCATTTCAAATCTGACGTGTTATTTATTAGAAATGTCACCATATGTAAAAAGTAAACCCAGATTCATTCTTTGCTTCTGTCAAGTTAGTGTAGTAAATGTATTTTTCTGACATAATCAAAATTATGAAGATTTGAATGCTTGTTTGGAAATGTCTCTGAATTTTTGGGAAATCATATCACATTTAAGAAGTGCTTTACTTTCACCATTCATTAGATGTTTTGAGACACCATTTTATAGAACATTGATGATATATATCTATTTGCAAAGATAATAGACATATTAAGCACATTTAAGAAGTGCTTTATTTTCACCCTTCATTAGATTTTTTGAGACACCATTTATAGAACATTTTATGATATATGTCTTTTTGCAAAGATGATAGACATATTAAGCACATTTAAGAAGTGCTTTACTTTCACCCTTCATTAGATGTTTTGAGACACCATTTTATAGAACATTTATGACATATGTCTTTTTGCAAAAATAAAAGACATATTAAGCAATTATGATTTGCATAGTACACTGTGTATGAAAACACAGATTCAAATCCTGTGCTAAGATAAAAAAAAAAGTCAAAAAGGTTAGTCAATCCCAACTGGGATCGAATCCATGAGCCCTCAATATGAGTCCTCTACCATTCAGCTGCAGGACCAGCTGACTTTTCCACATCAACATAACATATATAGAGTGAAAATTCATGCAAGACTTAATATTTAAACCAAAATGTTTAGCTCACACACTGTTTCAAAAATTATAAACACACTTGGCACTTAAGCACACATATTAGTGACAGAAAACATAGCACATCAACACAGATGAAGCACATCAACACATATGAAGCACTGTAACACATTGGTAGCACAATTGTAGCACATGATTTCATTTTTGAAAGCACTCATTTTATGTCACCCAGTCCTCTTTATCAGATTCAGTTTATAAACCAACTAACTTGTTAAATATTTGGAATCAATGTTAGTTATTGAATCATGGAATTGAGTATGATTAAATGTTATCTTTGAAATATATTTGAAATTTTTAACTGTGTATTTATGAATAGTGTAGTAGCATGTATAATCTGGAAATAGCAAAACAATCAAATGCTGTTTTTGTATTGTATTGTATTACCTTATAAGTATACATGTAATAACGTGTAGCATAGTGGTGTTATTAGATTATCACTGTGGTGTATTGTTATGTCTGTTTCTCCTGAATATCTACTGCCAGAGTATGAACCGATTACATCTCCGTGTATTTATAAAAAATCAATAGAGATCACGTCAAAAGATCAATGTATGCTAAACAAAAAAAGTTAATTTCATGATGGCTGGGTCCTATAGCCCTTACAGGCAGATACAGGTCAGAAAAGCATTATAACTTACCAGAAGAAACTAGGTGAAAGCCTTTTATGTACTTCCTCCCCCGCCCCATACAAAATGAACTTTTTGTTTGGATTTTATGGTACATTGCTGTTTTGATGTAATGCCTTAAATATGACTATGAGAATGCACATATTTAAAATTGATATTTATTTTTCAGGTAATAATCCATGTCAGCCTAACAATGGGGGTTGTAGCCACCTGTGCCTCATGTCCCCTAGTTCACCATACTATGCCTGTGCCTGCCCCACGGGGGTACGGCTCTTGCCCGATGAGAGGAGTTGTGCCGATGGTGAGATTCTCACTTTATTAGATTCAAATTGATCACAAATAAACATTTTTTGGTCTGTTGGTTTGAAAACTAAAATTGATTGATCAGTCATATACATATTTTTCTCTTCTTGAAAGTTTTGTGAATTTAAATATTCATTTACTGTATAGTGCATAGAGCTGATATTTATTTTTGTTTATACTATCAGTTCATCTTTATGGTATATTGGTTTGTCCTTCGAATGTTGCTACTTGTGTCTTTAAACTTGAAGCATTATTTCAATTTTCAATTGGTTGCTTTATTTTTTCAGGTCCAAAGGAGATTCTGCTATTAGCTCGACGTACAGATCTTCGTCGTATTTCTCTGGACACACCCGACTACACAGATGTTGTGCTACAGTTGAACAACATTAAACATGCTATAGCCATAGATTATGACCCTGTGGACAAGTATGTGTACTGGACAGATGATGAGGTCCGTACTATACGTAGAGCATATATGGATGGTACTGGTGAGTAATATAATCCTTCTGCGCCTTCTTCATATTCAATTTTCAATCCAAAGATATGTCACCGGATTTATGATTGAAAAGTATGACATTTTGTTGGTGTTCTATATATTGGGTGTTGATTGAATTAAATATCTTTTGTAGCTTCAATTTCTTGCTGGGTTCTTTGATTTCACACAATTCTCAAAATTTGAATATAATTTTAAAATAAATTTTTTCTGTTCTTCGATCATCCATAAAAGCTACACTGCCCATCAACCAATATTTCAAATCCTTTGTGAAATGGGCTCTAAAAGATTGTAAAAATCATAAAAATCATATGAGATGTTCATTTATTTCAAATGAATAAAATTAAATTACAGATTTTCTTTGAAAGCATTAAAGATTATTGTATTAAATATGTAAAACATTTTCTTGAAATCACATCTGAATTGAGATTTGTTGTGCATTGTAGGTCAACAAGTAATTGTAAGCAGGGAGGTGAACCATCCAGATGGTATAGCAGTCGACTGGATAGCACGTAATCTCTACTGGACGGACACTGGCACTGACAGAATAGAGGTCTCTAGACTCAACGGGACCTCACGCAAGATCCTTATATCGGAGAATCTTGAAGAGCCTCGTGCAATTGTTCTAGATCCAGTTGGAGGGTAAGAATAGTTTTTGAGAAATTGAATTTAGGTAGGCCGAATATATTGAGGTACAGAGAGGAATACAGGTTCTAGTCCTCCCATTCTGTCGACCTAAGAAGTATATATTTCTATCATGAATTTTAATATCACCTGTGGTGTTATAATTTTAACTTTTTTATGTACAGTGTTTGCATTTGTGTCTGTAACAATTGGCAGGTGGTGACCATTTTGCATGTTAATGCCTTGTTTTCTCATAATATTTCCCCAGGGATCTTTGATTTTACAGTTATAGTTTTACAGTGTAATCAATATTATTAGAAGACAATGTAATATGTGTGTTATGTGTTCACATTTGACATGACTTCTATAGGCTGGAATCTTGTTGAAATATCAGTTTTTTAGTTCATTTATATATAACAGAAAACATTCCCGAAGTGAAATGCCTTTGGGGCTAGAATAATGTTTATGTCCAAGATATGACCTCATATTAACTTCTAATCAATGTTTTTTCAAAATAAGTCATTTTGAATTTTCAGACTGTTTGTTCACATGTAGACTAATGACTCTTGTTTCTTTTATGTTGTTATTTATAATTAAACATTGCACAACTTCCTTTATATATTATCGATTGAATTCTAATTTTAACTGGAATGTTATTTCATGACATTGATTTGTTTTGTTCTCATTTATTGACTGCCACTCAGTTAGATTTAAGTTCTGAGTAGCATGATCACGGCTTTACATTTATTTATACACAAAAAGTAATAAAAGATACAAGCATGAAGGTGATTGCATGGAGGGAAATCTAATATATGAATATTTTAGAACAAAATTGCAGTTTTTTGTATTTGGGCAAATGTAATGCTAATTGGCACTATATGGTATGCGATCTATTGTAAATGGCCCCACCACACGATCCTCCTCCACACACTTTATTGTATGATGATCTTTTGTAACATATTGTAACTCATTTACAAAACAGCAACATCATATATTTAATAAAAACATCACCTAAGTATTTATTACAGGTCATGTAGACCCTGACATCGTGCCTTTTCGATAGATCTCATTCCTTAGAAGCCTAGCATTTTAAAAAAATCATTTTATTTTACCATCGATTGGCTTATTCATTTAGCAATTGATTTATAAATCTTTCACTTTTCTTAGATAAATCGTACATCGTTTCTTCTTCCATCCACTGTCGGGTTTATGGGTGTGACTTTACATATAAAATGTTCTTGTATTGATTTTAAGGCAGATCATATTGGATTTTCAGTCTGTGTTGATTTGTATATTACATCATTTCCATGTTCCAACATACTCAGACCTTTCACAGCTTTCCAGTTCTTATTTTATGTCTGTCTGGAGCAATCTGAATGTCATATCATTTCCTGAGTTAATGGTAGTTGAATTCTATCTTTGAAAAATAGCCTGAATCTATGTTGTTAAGTGGAGAATACACAAGCATTCAATGCTATAAATCATCTGGAGTAAGGCTAATAATGGTTAATTAGAGTATTTCACTATGAAAAATTAAAAGACTGATAAGTGGTCGACAGTCTTGTATCCATTGTTTTTCATGCTACTTATACTGCAAGTGCCTTGGTTGAAATCTTAAAATAGGCAAGGCAAATTAAAACCAATTGGGGTATAATCCTTCCATTGAATTAAAATCTTAATGCTCCAACCCAATGTGTGTGTAGTTGTATATCATATATGAAATTAATGATGAAACAATATGAATAAAATGTCATTTCATTGTTATATTATTCCAGGTACATGTACTGGACAGATTGGGGGGAAAAGCCAAAGATTGAACGGGCATACCTAGATGGCTCTGCCCGCAGTGTCATCATCAACGACTCACTGGGCTGGCCCAATGGTATCTCTATCGACTTTGCTGATCGTAAACTCTACTGGGGAGATGCTAAAACAGATCAAATAGAAATGTCTGATTTGGATGGGTCAAATCGTCGAGTTCTGGTTCGAGATCAGCTTCCACATATATTTGGCTTCAGTTTATTAGGTATGTTGGTTAATTACGGTCGTCTTTTAGGGATCTCCTATACGATTTTTTCCGGGGACGATACGATTTTTTCATGTAATACGATTCAATATGATTTTATTCCTTCATATTTCCCTGGGAAAACAGTAATATTATATATTACTTTTGATATGTCAAAATGACACACTACACTAGACTACACTACACTGTCAGTATAATATACCTTTGTACAGGGCTGTGTGTAATATGTAATTTGCAGACAATTGGCAAGAGAAATCAATCAAGTAAATTTAACTAGTTTTATGTGACCTATTTTATTTTATTGCAAATTAATTAGGATTTCATTCTGTTTGCAGACATATCAATAAATACATAGATGAACATAAAGCATGGAATTCCATTGATTTTTATATGTTGCATGTCTAAAATGTCTCCTTTTTGCTATTTGGGCATTTTATATATACATGTATACACAGTATATATGTTATTGTCATTGAACCAATTAACCAGTAGAGATAGATAAGATATTGCACATTTACTGTTATTTCAGGGGACTATATCTACTGGACTGACTGGCAGAGGAGGTCTATAGAGAGAGTGAACAAGTACTCTGGGGAAGACAGACGTATGATCATTGATCAACTCCCAGACCTGATGGGTCTTAAGGCAGTTGATGTGCATAAGAAAGAAGGTAACCACGTTTGATTTCAGGGATCATTTAGAATTGTCAATGCATTTTTAAACATGAATTTAATTCATGTTTAATTTCATTCATTTTTAATTCCATTTTGCCTTATTAGAATTTGTACACCAGACGAGTGTTCTCTTTAAAATAAGCAGATTCTTGTTTCCGCAGTCTTAGCTAGTTAAAAGGTGCTAGATCTTGATTTTACCTGTTTTGATAAAAAATATGTCAATATTTCATCATTTTGACAGGATGCAAACAGATCTTCAACAGGGTGGCATGTTATTGCCAAAATTTCAAAAAGATTAGCTTTAGTGCTGGAGAGATCATTGGAGTATGTACAAATGGGTTTTCAAGTTGTTGAACGCCTTCAAAATCAAAATCTTAGTGGATGCATCACCCTCTTATGGTTAGGATGAGGCGGGTCACAGGAGAGGATTTTCAAAATAGCTCAATCTCACAGAAAATATAACTAAATAAGAGCTAGAGTATCTGATGAGATGTTTCTGTGTTTCAGGTACCAACGAGTGTAAGACGAAGAATGGGGGATGCAGTCACCTGTGTCTTAACCGACCCACGGGTCCCATTTGTGCCTGTCCAATGGGGCTAGAGCTCTTGAAGAACCAGAAGACGTGTATTGTCCCTGATGCTTTCCTGCTGTTCACACGAACCAGCGATATTCGACGGATCTCACTAGAGACCAATCACAATCCAGTTGTTATTCCTGTGTCAAATGTGAAAGGGGCTTGCGCATTAGACTTTGATATAAATGATAATCGTATTTATTGGACTGATACAAATCTTAAAGTAAGTAACTTATTATAACTTGTCAAATGTCAATCATGGTCTGTTTTGGTTTGTTTTATTAGGCAAATTTATAAAAACAAAAATACACAACAAAACCAATCAATCAATCAAAACGTCTAATGTTTTGAATGATACATTAAATTGTGAGTTGAAAATTTGTACATATATTTGTGATTTCAGACGATCAATCGAGCATTTATGAATGGCAGTGCCCTTGAGAATATTGTCAAATTTGGACTGAAATATCCAGAAGGCATGGCAGTTGATTGGGTTGCTAAGAATATTTACTGGACAGACTTTGAAAATGATCGCATAGAAGTGGCAAGATTGGATGGTTCTTCACGTAAAGTAATCGTGTGGAAAGATTTGAGGAACCCTAGAACATTGGCGTTGGATCCATCGCAAGCGTAAGTTATAGTTATGGAAAAGCTGTTGAATGAATAAAACCAAGCTAAGTGAGACATAATCTAAGAAGAACGTTATTGTGGTCATGTTTTGAAATCTGAATTAAAGTGTAAGAGAGTAAAATTAGCAAGGAATAGCATGGAACTAGTTAAAAATAATCCCAACTATACAATTTAAAAATCACAAAGGTCAATACTTGAAAAGCATGTGCATGTATACATCTATATCAGTAAATCCTATGCATGAATGTTAAGATTTTGATTCACATTTCAGGCAAATGTATTGGACAGTTTGGGATGATCAGCAATTCAGAATAGAGCGCTCAAACTTGGATGGGAGCGCTAGGAAGCATGTTATCACAAATGTGGGACGTGCACATGGTTTGACAATAGATCACATTGATCGTCGTTTATACTGGGTCGATGTCACTGATAAGTCTATTCAGTCTTCTGATATGGAGGGATCACTTCGAAGTCGAATAATACTTCATTCTTTACCTCACCCCTTTGGGTTAACACAGTACCAAGATTATATATACTGGACGGATTGGGAGACAATGAGCATAGAGCGAGCTAATAAAACAACAGGAGAAAATCGAACTCAAATCCGTGGATCACTAACCTATGTCATAGATATACTAGTTTTTCATGCGTCACGTCAAACTGGCTGGAACCAGTGTGGAGTCCGTAATGGGCAGTGTTCGCATTTATGCCTCGCGGTCCATAATGAGCTCTATACGAATGGCTCTGATGAGTTCACCCATATACCCCAATGTGCTTGCCCTACACATTTCACCCTAGACTCTAAAGACAATAAAACTTGCCTAGCTCCCAGTGAGTTCCTTTTATTCAGTCAGAAAAATCAAATTAATAGAATGCTGGCAGATACCAGTGAATCGCCAGAAATTGTGCTCCCTATCCAGAACCTGAAGAATATCCAGGCCATAGACTATGATCCAGTGAATAAACATGTATACTGGATAGATTGGCGCCAGAAAGCAACAATAAAGAGGTCTGTCAACAAAGAGGAGAAAAGTAGCAAGGTTAGTACCATATAGTATATATATGCCCTATTAAGTTCTCGTGAAATGAGATACATTCACACATTGCCTTTAAGGTGTGCACAGTATGTGGCATGGGGACATATTGGAATCTAAGCTTGTGTTTGTTTATAGTGATAGATGTTAAGATAATCCACTTACTGTATACTCAAGGGGCGAGGAGGAAAATTCTCAATAAATGGTGTATAGTTGGTTTGGCAGTATTTTCAGTTAGGGGAGAGTCTTGGATGAAATTTCCACCTAGGTGATAGCTTCGCAGAGTGGTAGGGAGTTCTTTTTTTTGAGGAGTTAGCCCCCCACCCCCCAAAAACACCCCACCCTGGGGAAAAAATTGTTCACACTAATTAACCTTAGATATTTTGATGTTTGTAAGTGACATACATAGATATTATATATATGAATAATTTGCAGTATTATTGATGCTGATTACTCCTAAAGAATTTGAATATCAGTACAAAGTGTGTACCCCAGGGGGCAAATTCATGACTCATTTTCTTAGTGTTTTGATTCTAACTTTTCAATTAGACACTGTAAGAGCTTGAAAAAATTCATGTGAAGTGCCCAATAGCAGGGTTAGTAACCCTGAAAGATGCAAAGCCATGGAAGAAGTAGGAGCTGAGAAAAAAATTGTTGATTTTTCAAAAAATTTGACATTTTTGACAACTGGATTTTGTGTATGACTATAGCTGACCCCTATAGTTTCTAGATCCATCCCTCTATGATGATATATATGGTTTTATAGTGTGGAACTAAGATGTAAAACATAAATTAGATGGGTTTTAAGGAAGTCAAAGGTTTTAAACAAGTCCAAAATTTGAAAAATTGTAAATATAAGGTTTCAAATTTACGAATTCCAGGTATAGCCATGGCTGACCCCTATAGATTCTAGATCCATCCATCTTTGATGATATTTATGCTTTCATAGTGTGAAATTAAGATGTAAAACATAAATTAGATGGGTTTTAAGGAAGTTATAGGTTTTAAACAAGTCCAAAATTCGAAAAATTGTAAATGTAAGGTTTCAAATTTACGAATTCCAGCTATAGCCATGGCTGACCCCTATAGTTTCTAGATCCATCCCTCTTTGATGATATTTATGGTTTTGTAGTATGGAACTAAAGATGTAAAACATAATTTAGATGGGTTTTAACGAAGTTAATGATTTAAAACAAGTCCAAAATTTGAAAAATTGTAAATATAAGGTTTCAAATTCCCTTATGGCTTTTTCATCAATACTTCTATGATGAAACATATACTTTTAGAGTGTGAAACTAAGATGTAAAACATACCGAAGATGAGTTTTAAGGAAGTTTAAGAATTTTAATAAGTGCAATATTTGAAAAATTGAGAAATATCAGGTCTCAAAGGGGCACGGAAAGTATCGCAACAGATTTCAGACAGTCATATGTTGGATTTTGTCTGTTTTCTGAGGATTTAAGCAGGTGCATATGATAGGCCATTGCATTACCTAGTGGGAAAAGAACTCTTAGAGATAATAAAATAGTTTGGAATTTGAGACAGCGAAGGTGAAAACAATCCACCCAAATGTTTTTTGGGAAATGTCGTCCTGATTTTCAACCCCGTTCACCTATGGTTTTTCAATTTTAGTTGCATCAATATGTTGCGTTTTGAGACATAAGTTAACCATTAAAAGGATAAATTTCTTTTAGATAAAGCGGAAAACAATATTTTCCTTTAGGGAAAACTCATGTGATCCATTGCTTTCAGCTTAATTTTGGTCACCCATATTTGATATCTTTAAAATCCCTGATGGAATGCATTTTTCATTTAAAGGGGTTAACTGTATGTAATAATTATACATATACACATATATATTTATGCATGTGGGTGGGTTGTTTGCACCTTCCCTGTCTCAAAATAGAAATTATTTTATCATCTCTATGGGTGCTTTTCCTGGAGGAAATGCATTGGCCTAACATATGCACCTCCTCAAATCTTCAGAAAATAGCCAAAATCCAACATATGATTGCTGAAATCTGTTGCGATACTTTCAGTCCTCCTTTACGATTTCAGGTATAGCCCTGCATGTCCCTCTTTTTGAATGTATGACTTAGCTTAGAAATTAGATGTTGAAAATATTGTGGTCAGGTTTGATCCATGTTACATGTATTGTTAAAAGAAAAATCATTAGAGTTGAGGACTTAACCCTTGAGTTCCTAAGGGGGTGAGAGGTTAATAAATCCCCCAGTAAGCGTAACTGCTCCTAGGGATATCGTATACAGTGTAGTAATTGATTGCTTAAATGGATTATTACTAATTAATTATTATTTGACGATATTTATTATGTGATATAGCATTTTTACTTTTTCACATCAACATGTTTGATGTAATGCCGTTCTGCATTATCAAAATACATAAAGACATGGTTAATTTAAAGAAACATGTTTTCTCTATATTTTGTTGTGCCCCTTCTGTAATTAAGCAATGATCATCTCCTAATACAAAATGTTGTTATGAATTATCAAATTATAATCACTACACTCCCAATAAAACAATTTGTCATCAGGCAACAGTAATTATTTGGGAAAATAAGGATTATAAGGATCATACCCCCCCCCCCCCCCCCCCCCCCGCCCGGGCCTAGAAACTTCCGTTAGTGCAATGATATAAGGAACTCTAGGGTAAAAGGGTCTTGTCACATTAAAATCTTCATGTAGATCAAAAAAGTATATATGGTGATATGATCAATATGTTTCAAACAAACAGACATTGTAGAAAATGTTTACATACTGACTTTGCAGATGACATTTTCTAGCATAGTTGAAGAATTTTTTTCATTTATTAAAATGATAGTCATAAAATTATAATATCAGTGTCATTTGATGCAAATTACTGCAGTCCCACATGTTCTGCTGAATGTAAAACAAGTGAATACTTTTAAAATCAGCCTCTTCAGGAGTGGAATTTAACAGGAGATTTCAGTTATCATTTTCACAGATATTTGAGTTCTCTCCAATAGTTCCACTTAAAACAATCTTGGCATTTGGCACACTTTTAGAATGCTGCTTTATTGAATTTCTTTGTAATCTTTGAAAATTTGTCTTATATTACTTGGACAAAGGTATTCATATTTTTAGGTAATGGTGTAATTTCTTCTTTGGATTAAAGTTCAATAGGGGAAGCATCCATTCTTCGCATTCTTTCAGAATCCTTTACTGATGGAGACAACTAGCTAGGAGTCTAATATGAAATCTATTCTTTGGGCTCCTTTACTAGATTTGATGAGTAGTCAAATATAGCTTTCCAAAACTCTCCAAATTTCAACGTATAAGTTAATCTTCATTTTCCCTTTGTCATAGCCATTGCATCAATCACGAAAGTTTTATCAATTTGTGGTATGTTTTCATCGATCTCCATTTCAAACCCCTTTTTAAGTTCTGATTTTACAGGATAATATAGATGATCATTGTCAAACGAACTGTTTGTATCCATATAAGATCATAGTTTACTCACACATTTCTAGGCAAGGTGTGTCCAATTCCAGCCAATTCAATATTCCATATAACTGCATTCCAATTTACTACTCTCATAAACCAAAGGTCAATTTTAGATTCAAGAGAAACTAATGAAACTAATGATCATAGGGAATAGCATGCCAAGTGCTTGTATTTGAATTTATGTGGATTACTCATTTGGTAGACACCTTTATCAAATGTTAAAGTGTTGTTGATTTTCAAGTTGTACAAGCACAGTGTCATGAGTGCTTTCTTTTCCTGACATAGTATAACATTGTGGTAAAAATTATCAAAGGCACCTAGTACAGTAGTTCTAGTTCATCATCTTGTATAAATGATATATCAGCAGTGAAACCTGTATATCCCAACATCTGACTATTGTGAACACCTACCAATCATCCCAACACCTGACTTATCTGAAAACCAACCAATCTGAACACTTTTCCTCAGTTCAATTTTTCCTTCCTCCCATTGACTCCTATGTTTAAAAATTGAAATCTGAACACCTCTTAATTCGAACATTGAACACTCATATTTGAAAAATCAACCTGTTCAACTTGAACTTTTTTTTACCAAATATCACATATTTCTTACAAAATTGCTCAAATATTGTCAGTTTAACACTGAATTGTTATGATATCAAAACTTTTGAATTGGATTTTGGAATGCTATTAAGCTTTTTGGGTGGTCAGTATAAATATTATTAATATTTATTAATATTTTTCATTGAGAATGCATTCATATTTCTTAAAAATCCAGAATATTGCAGATGTAAAAACCTCAAAATTCAAACACTTCTAATTTGAACGCTTTTAGCTGGTCCAAATACTATATCTAGTAGCATTCAGATTAGAAAGATTTTACTGTAGTTCATGAATTTTCACTCCATCTATATGCAGCAGACTAACTGCTGCAACAGGTATATATTCTACACCTGGTCTCTAAGCTATGATATCACAGTTGTTACTATTATGCTCATAACCTTCGATTATCAGGGCTCATTTAAGGCTGTACCTGAATAACGTGAATTTGAGACCAATTTTCGAGATCAATTTTTCAAATTCCTTCAAACTCATCTTATGCGTCTTTTACATTTTAGTTAAATACTCTAAAAATATATATCTCATCACTGAGGTATAGATGTAAAAAAAAAACATAAGGGTCATCTTTGGCTATACCTGAAATTCATAAATTCATAAACTTACATTTACAATTCTTCAAATTTTTGACTTGTTTAAAACCTTAAACTTTCTTAAAATTCATTTTGGGTATGTTAAATCTTAGTCCCACACTCTAAAACTGTATATTTAATCATAGAGGTATGGATGTAAAAACCATAAGGGTCAGCCATGGCTATACCTGAAATTCATAAATTTGAAACCTTATATTTACAATTTTTCAAATTTTGAACTTGTTTAAAACCTTAAACTTCCTTAAAACCCATCTAAATTGTGTTTTACATATTAGTTCCATACAGCAATACCATAAGTATCACCATAGAGGGATGGATCTAGAAACTATAGGGGTCTGCTATGGCTCTACCTGGAATTCGTAAATTTGAAACCTTATATTTACAATTTTTCAAATTTTGGACTTGTTTAAAACCTTAAACTTCCTTAAAACCCATCTGACTTATGTTTTACATCTTAGTTCCACACTATAAAACCATATATATCATCATAGAGGGATGGATCCAGGAACTATAGGGGTCAGCTATAGTCATACACAAAATCCAGCTGTCAAAAATGTCAAATTTTTCGAAAAATCAACAATTTTTTTCTCAGCTCCTACCTCTTCCATGGCTTTGCATCTTTCAGGGTTACTAACCCTGCTATTGGGCACTTCACATGAATTTTTTCAAGCTCTTACAGTTTCTAGTTGAAAAGTTAGGATCAAAATAGTAAGGAAATGGGTCACGAATTTGCCCCCTGGGGAACACACTTTGTACTAATATTCAATTTTTTTAGGAGTAATCAGCATCAATTATACTGCAAATGATTCATATATATAATATCTATGTATGTCACTTACAAACATCAAAATATCTAAGGTTATTTAGTGTGAACAATTTTTTTCCCCGGGGTGGGGTGTTTTTGTGGGGTAGGGGGCTAACTCTTCAAAAAAAGAACTTCCTACCACTCTGTGAAGCTATCACCTAGGTGGAAATTTCATCCAAGACTCTCCCCTAACTGAAAATGCTGCCAAACCAACTATACTCCATTTATTGAGAATTTCCCTCCTCGCCCCTAGAGTAGTAAAACACTCCGGACATCTTTTTCCCAAACCTGACATTTGTCCAGTGTCAAGAGAGAATGATTCATTTTGTTATAATGAAAACGATTTATTATACTATTTGCAGCATGGCTGTGTTGATTCATTTAATGACAATATGATAAGTTGCACTAAAGAAGTATTGAGTACAGTGTTATAATGCTTACATTGTTTACAGGCCCAGACAGTAGTACCCAATCCCCAAGAGTTACTTAAACCAAATGACATTGCCATAGATCCCTACACACACCAGATCTTCTGGACAGACTCGAAGAATAATGTCATCAATGTTACAAGATTCAACATGAAATCTGTTGGGCTTGTGATTCGTGGCCCTGGGGAGAGGCCCCGATCAATTGCACTACATCCAGAAAAAGGGTAAGAACAACTTTTGTGTGTGTGTTGATGAAACCCCGATGTGTTTCAATTGTGCCATGTGGAGCAATGTTGAAAATGCCCTAGTTTTGCTATAAGATATTGTTGATCCAATCACTGAAATGAATCAAATCTACCTTAAAATCCTATACCTGTAACAACTCTCAAAAAAGGTTTTATTGAAATGATTGCTATTTTATATTAATGAAATTAATTTCTATTCCAGCCACATGTACTGGGTGAATATGGTTCAGAGGCCCACCATAGAGCGTGCAGCATATGATGGTCATGAACGAAAAACACTATTTAAAGATGGTCTCATTGAGCCAACTGGCCTTGTGGTGGATCCCAAAGATGGCCTCTTATTCTGGTCAGACATAAAATCTCAACATATTGAAAGCTCCGACCTAGATGGGGGAGATCGTAAAATATTAATTGAAAATAACATATTGAAGCCACTCGATTTAACAGTGTATGGCGACTACCTTTACTGGGTGGATCGCGATATGGAACTCATTGAGAGGGTGAATAAATTTAAAGGAAATGAACGGACTCAGATTTTGAGCCGGGTGCATGTTCTAACTGGGATTGTAGCCGTACAGCATTTAAGTCAGGGAGCGTTTAAGTCACATCCTTGCGCAATCAATAATGGAAGGTGCTCTCATTTATGTATCATAAAAAGCTCGGATACGATTCGGTGCTCGTGTCCTGTGGATCTAGTCTTGCATAGTGATGACATTACGTGCGTTGAGCCACCAACATGTGCGCCGGATCATTTTACGTGCTCAACAGGTGACGAAGGTTGCCTTCCTCGGAACTTTAGATGTGATGGTGTTAGCGAATGCCAAGATGGGTCAGATGAAGAAGGATGCAAACATTGTGATTCACAAACCCAGTTCAGATGTGATATAGGAGATTGTATTCCTCTCTCGCAACAATGTGACGGTAATGTCAACTGTCCTGATAAATCAGATGAAAAAGACTGCTGCACGGCAGGTCAGTTTCGTTGCAATAATAAACAGTGTATTGCCAATAGTAAACGCTGTGATGGAATCTATGATTGCCTAGAGCACTCCGATGAGCTAGATTGTCCTCTGAATCATGCTTCAGGTCCATTTGAGAATGACTCTAGTACGGCCCAGTATACAGTAGGGATAGTTGTTGGCATTATCGCAGTTCTTATAGCAGTCGTGGTGCTCATCATAGCCTGTAAGAGGAAATCACAGCATCAACCACTTGAAGAGTGTAGAGACATAATCATGGTGACTAAACCCATGTTGAACCCTACCTCAGATCCAGGTAGCACGCCCCCGCATACATTAACTACATCACGTGGGAAATCAGGCACAACATGTCTGAGTGTCAGTTCAGCTAGTGGGCCCCCTCCTAACTATGATAGGAATCACGTCACAGGGGCATCCTCCAGTTCCTCTAGTGTTACCCACTACCCAAGAGAGACCTTAAATCCTCCCCCTAGTCCAGTAACTGACAGGTCAGTTGCCGGGGAATACATGTACTATTCGTCAAACTCCCCGAGCACTGTCCGCTCTTATAGACCATATAGAAAACACCGCCACATTCCCCCATTGCATACCACACCATGCACCACTAGTGCCTATGAGGAGAGCGAGCCATACCCTGAGAAAAAATACTATACCCCTGTTATGGGATACGATTCTGATCCTTACCCTCCTCCACCAACCCCGAGGAGCCATTATTTATCTGATGAAACCAGCTGCCCCCCTTCACCAGAGACTGAACGAAGCTTCTTTAATCCTTATCCCCCACCGCCGTCCCCAGTAGCCACCTCAGAGTGCTAAAAACATCTGTCAAGATCTTTAACTCTAATGTTATTGAGCGAGTAATCAAACAAGTAAATCTATGTGATCTGTCAGCATTCAATAGACTAGTCCATTTGAATAAAAGTTCAACACAGTTATTAGGTTCATATTACGATTCAGCTTCAGGGACTCATTTTTTCATGTGTATTTTCTGATGATCCTCATTAAACAGTTCAGCTTAAGATTTTGACAGGTGTGTAATATAAGTCATATTCTTGCATTGGATATCCTATTAGGAAAATGTCTATTTTACAAACTTGTATTTTCTGAAAGGTAAGTACTTTGTAAGCTATGTACAGACACAGAGTTATATAAAACCAGTACGGTAGATTATTTGATATTAATCGATTTACTTGTATTTTGCTGTAATAGGAGATACTGCATTATTTATTGAAATCATGTTTAAATGCAAGTAAATTAATGTAAAATATGTAAACAAATAGTTAAGTACACACTTGTCAGTGTGATAGTGTAAATAAAATGTACAGAACCACAGTTATAAGATTTAACTCTTTTCTGTCTGAAGACACCATTTTTTAGACAGAAAGAGTTAAAGTGAGACAGATTATAATGTTAATCAATAAATCAACAAGTAAGGGGTGTTCAAAAAGTTTAGAGATATTCCACATGGAATTTAATTCCAGTTAAAATATGATTTATATTTCTTTTGAAAATCTTGAACCATATATTGTAACCCACTAAAGAAAACCTAAATCATAATGTTTTATTTTCATTTATGCCGCTATGATTTTCAGATTTGATCAAATGTACAAAATATTTTAGGAAAATATAGGGTGTCCCTATTTATAATAGTCCACCCTGTATATATTTGGGTTATAGTATGTAATAAGAGATATTTACAACTTTTTGAACATCCCTCGAATATAGCAATAAATAATATGTGTATTAAAGGTTCACAAAGTGATACAGTTAAACACATGATCTATCTAAATATGTGTATTTGTATAGTAGCTGTGTATACATTTAATTTAGAAAATTCACTATACTATTGTACACTAGGTATATAGTTTATTTTCAAGACCATTGGTGTTTCATCAATTCTCAACACTTCAACACACACATCAATTATACAAGTGATGCAACCAAACCAATATGAATGCAATTTTTACATTTTGATACTTCTTTAATGTTTATATAGAGGTTTACATAATATATTACCAGTTGTCTTAATCATTGTAAAACCAACTTTTCAAATCTATTTTTTGAAAATGTGCTCGGAAAATTACCTTTAATGATGCATTTCCTATGGTGTGATGCTGGAGCATTGTAACTCTATCCTCCAAAGACATCATTTCTCTGTTGCCCTCTATCTACAGATGGCTACTGATTTACTATTTAACAAGTCACATAGCACATTGATGTGGTAAAGCAGTGACAAGGATTGTATCCTGTAACTCTCAAGATATTTCCAAAGTTTTTTCTCAGAGAAACACATTTCAGCAAAATAGAATATTTTTTATATGCATCTGCAGAGGGTAGTCTCTAATCATTGAAGACATGGAGAATGGAGAATATTGTTACATACCATAATTATTTAAAAGCCAAAATGTATTCATCATTGCCAAATACCAAAAGAACACCATTCACATGTTAACATGTTAACCATTATTCTGGGGGCTGTTTCTAGAATTCATTGTGTGAGGTTCATCCATTTATCATCACAGTTATTTATAAACTGTGAGCATTTTAGTATCAATTACAATTATTCATGCAAAAATATAATGCACAATTATATGAATATAATATACATTTCCATCAGTTAGAATTCACAAAACCAAGATTCACAATGTATATTGTAGAAATGGTTCCTTGATGCAAAGCTATAAGGATGTAAAGTTTATGAAAGGAGTGTGTGTTAAAATTACATTGTCCTCAGTTGAACTGTCTTGTACTTAGCCACAACCAAGTTAGGCCCATGTTATTAAATTGAAAGGTAACCTGAATTAAATAATTTTGGGGGCTGGGTCTTAGACTGTATAAGTCTATTCCGTTTGACAGTGTGATGCAAAGCCTCATAAACATGGCCAGTTAGGTGACTTGACTGGTGTGAACAAAACAAAGTTTGAGGAATTCCTGAGGCTGCACCTTAAATTGAATGATGAATTTATTGAATATTTTGTTCAATTGCAAGTGTTTATATCGTAATGTGCTAATGTTTGTGGTTTTATGTGTACAAGTAAATCATACAGGTGACATTCTTTCACATGTGTGTCAAAGTGTGAGTTTGTGATTGTCATGGTTGTAGAGAACCGAAAGCAAACCATGGGAAATACCGGGATGGGCATAACTTTCAATTGAAAAATTTCAGAATAATTTGATCTCGCGTAAAGACAGTGAGTGATAGGACTGTCTCAAAATCATTCATTGATGATACTTGATTTTGACTTAAATTGATGAAATTTCCTCAAAAAAGAGAAAAAATATATTTATTTCTCTTTAGAATTCGACTTTATTAATGGAATTTCCTCAAAAAAGAGAAATTTGGTATTTATTTCTCTACTCATCCCTGGTATTTTCACATCAGGCTATTTTCATGTAGAAAGAATGACCACCTTGGTATTTTCATGTGGAGGGGAACTGCTGCTGGTAACAGGGTCTTTTAAAGAAATTACCAATAGAGATGGCTTAAATTTTCTCATCATGTACTTAATTATATTGGTTGTTGTTGTGTCGTTGTTGTTTTATAGAAAAGCTGATGTTGATGAAGTTTAGGGGTCGAGTCAAAATATCAACACTTCTCCAATCATTTCATTTGGGATCTGGTATACTAGTAACCAATTATCATGTACTGTGAAAGGATATTTTTTTTTCATTTTGCAAAGCATAAAAATCATTGCTTTGGTCATAAAATGGGGGTAGGGATGTTATTACTTGGATGAAATGATTCCATCTTTTATCTTTTCGTCCTTTATAATTTCATATTTCATAATTTCATTTTAATCATTCATCCTTTATGATATCATGTTTTATCTTGTATCTATTCATATTTTATCATATCATCTACCTATCTTTGTCATCTCATCTATCTCCTCTATTGGCAAATGTTGATGTTTTGATTAACTCCCCAAGATTATATGATTTTGAAACCAAAAGTAAGAGCAGCCAGGAAACATAAAATTCTATTACTATTCTGTATATACTTTATAGTAACATGCAATCAATTATATTACAGAACAGTTACAAATATGTAGTAAATATATAGATGAATGTACTTAGCTGTTACAGTATGTATATATAGAGAACAATCATGTGTAGAGAATGTAGTGTACAGAATTATAAAATATGAATTTATCGCAACACCACCACAACCAAATGCTGAACCTTCAGGCCATCCCATTCCAGTAAAGGAGGTACTTCAATCCCATGTTGCAATACTTTTAGAAACCATGACATTTCTTGGGATTGAATAGCCCCTGCTAACACATTAAGCAATACATTGTAATTAACAGCTGCTTATTCAAATGTAAAGTTGTCCATTTTATGAGTTCTATGTTTCGCCAAATAATAAACATTGTATTTTAGTTATATGCTGATCATTTTATATAAATCAAATTATTAATTGCATTTACTTGCATGTACCAATTGTGCTTATTCTACACCACAAATATACTGAAATAAGTGTATTTTTGAGAATCAATGAATCGTCAAATTTTTCCTCATGTTATAATAGTTGTTATTGCACCATTGTTCTATTGTCCAGAATCCATATACCTTTACATGTTGCCATTTGACTTACCAGTCATGCATAGCTGGTGCCAGGTAGATGATAATTTAAAACTGGACAATATTTATTTTATCACGAGTAAATTGAACTGCATTAAGATTCAAAATAGTGTGCCTAAACAGCATTTCCTAACAGAGAAAGGTAATAAATGTTAAGACAAAGTTTTCAACAATAATCATTGTGATCATTTTCAAAAGAGAAGTACTGTAGTACCTGATGTTGATTTACAGAGGGAATGGGTCTGAGCCATTGTTTACTGAGTTTAATGAGGCATTGATATTCTCACTTGGCACTTCATTTGGTTGTTCTTAGAAATGTGCCTACTTAAGCCCATGCACATATACACTGTGAAAATGTGACAAAACCATTGCAAGGACTAGGAGCATACATTTATGCACAATGTACAATATAATGATACTGGTATATGCCATTTGTATAATTATCCCATCGAACGAAGTTCGGAGGGATATAGGGAACGCCTCCATCCGTCCGTACGTACGTACGTACATCCGTCCGCCCGTCCGTCCGGGCAATAACTCAAATACCGTTGGCCCGATTTTATTCATATTTTGTACACATATACCCTATGGGGGTAGAAGTTCTGCTCAAAAGCCGATTTTCAAAATGGCCACTCATTTAAAAATGGCGGCCATTTTAGTGCCGATTTTACAGTAATTTAGGTTCAATATGTAAAACTGTAATAGCAATATGTTTTAAATGTAAAAAAATTATATAGGACATTAATAAAGCTAGAAATGTAGATATTAAAAAAGCACATGGCAGCCATCTTGAAAAATGGCGACCTTTACTCGTTATTTTACGATTTTTGCTGTAACTCGAAAAGTATTGGAGCGATTTTGTTCATATTTGGTATGTGAATACTATAAGCATGGCACACTGTCTAATGACACTTTTGGTAGAAGGTGATCATTTTGAAAAATGGCGGACATTTTGAAAAATGGCCGCCATTTTAACTTATTTTACTAAAACTCGAAAAGTAGTGGAGCGATTTTGTTCATATTTGGTATGTGAATACGTATAAGCATGGCACACTGTCTAATGACACTTTTGGTAGAGGGCGGTCATTTTTCAAAATGGCCGCCATTTTAACGTATTTTACTATAACTCGAAAAGTAGTGGAGCGATTTTGTTCATATTCGGTATGTGAATACTGTAAGCATGGCACACTGTCTAATGACACTTTTGTTTGAAGGCGGCCATTTTGAAAAATGGCGGACATTTTGAAAAATGGCGGACATTTTGAAAAATGGCGGACATTTTAACTTATTTTACTATAACTCGAAAAGTAGTGGAGCGATTTTGTTCATATTTGGTATGTGAATACGTATAAGCATGGCACACTGTCTAATGACACTTTTGGTAGAAGGCAGCCATTTTTCAAAATGGCCGCCATTTTAACGTATTTTACTATAACTCGAAAAGTAGTGGAGCGATTTTGTTCATATTTGGTATGTGAATACTATAAGCATGGCACACTGTCTAATGAGACTTTTGGTAGAAGGCGGCCATTTTTTCAAAATGGCCGCCATTTTAATGTATTTTACTATAACTCAAAAAGTAGTAGAGCGATTTTGTTCACATTTGGTATGTGAATATTCTAAGCATGGCACACTGTCTAATGACACTTTTGGTAGAAGGTGCCCGTTTTGAAAAATGTTCGATGGGATTCGCTACGCTTTGGCGTTGCCGTTGTTCTGGTTTGTATTGTACAATGTATAATACATATTATACCATGTATAAGTTATATTATACATTGTTTGTATATAACATACAGACCACTGCTGGATAAATGGATGAAAGATGTATGATTGAGTTAGGATGTTACTGTGGTGTATAGTATACATTACATGCACATACAATGTACAGTTTTGTAGATTTCAAATCAGGAATAATAATGTCAAATATACATAAAATATTCTTTATTTTGTTTATTTTGCTGCTTTTGTACAGGGTGTCCAAAAAAACAGGACTGTAAGAAAGTTAAATGACTCGGTCAGTTTTGCATATTTTGCCTAGAAATTTCAGAATTATTTAGTACACCTGATAAGGCCCACTTGTTAACATGGCCCATGGGCTATTAATTGAACGTTCTTTAAAAACAACATGCATTAAGGAAATAAGAGCCCTTGTTTTAGTGCTGGTATAGAAACGAATTGTAATGAGCCTCGATAGCAAGTCGCTACTACAGTCTCAGCTGTAGTGGCTAACCCATATGGCCGAATTGGTAGCGTCTGACTTGTGAGCAGAGGGTCTTCGACTCATTCCCTACGGGGCATTGAACTTAGCACACTCCTTTTCATGCCTAGTGTCTGACTCATTTCACTACAGCAGAGTTTCCTGGGTTCGATTCCCGTTCTGCTCAATTCCTGTTCTATGCCACCCCAAGGCTTTTTTGATATCTGATCATATGTAGAAGTTATTTAAGATTTAAGATGCAGAAATGTCCGAATTCAGTAGACTTTAAAATGGGACATTCTTTTTAATCTAATTTCTAATTAGATAGTGTTAAAATTTGAAAGGTTGTTCTGTAATAAAGTCAGAACTGTTGAGTTTTAGAAAATAGGCATGACATGGCAAAAAATCTATAATTGTGATAATTTTGGGAATCTTATCGTGATCAGAAGTGATGACATATTGTGATATGTCACCACCAGAAGTGATGACATAATGTAATATGTCACCACCAGAAGTGATGACATAATGTGATAGTCTCAAACTTTTGTGGACAGTGTTCTGGGGTTAGTGTTCTGCATCTGTAACAATTTTTTCTAACTTCCAATAATTTAACAAGTACTTTTTTAGACTGACTTAAAGGAGTGGTATCGATATGGTGATCTTTTTGAACCAATTATCAAAACATTCTGGAAATTTTACACACCATCAATTTAATGGTCATCTTTTGGATGGTTACATTATAATTTGAAATATTTATATACTTTTCTCTATATTGTTTTAGAAAACACATCAGACACTTCTTTTGCTCTAGGTATCATATGTTCAGAATGAAATGAAACCTATATCTGAACCTCATTGGAACAAAACGACATAAACACAACTTGTTTAGGTCTCTCAATATTGTAATTGTACAAAGGAAAGTTTGGGGGGGGGGTTTGTTTTATGCATAGGCAAAGGCCGGTAGGAATAATTTTTAAATAAAGATGGCATGTTATATCTGTGTTTATTTATAAATATTCTCTAAAAAAGAAAAAGATAATACTGGATTCTGTTAATGCTGCCATCTTTATATCGGCCGAGAACATATGGTTTTATGTTTTTGCTTACTTTTTGTTAAATATAGGTCCATGGTATAACTATAATAATGAGAGGTTTGCTGTTTTGTTCCAACAAGGTTCGGAAAGACATTTTATTTCATTCTCAAGAATTGGTAGAAAGGAACAAAAAACAATTGCACTAAGCAACAAAAAATGTTTACAAAAACAGTTATATGAAATATATACAAATAATTTTGCATTAAATTGTTGCCAATCAGTCAACATTACATAAAGGACAGTGTATTTTTACAGAATGTTTTCAATAATTGGTTTAAGAGAAAAACATTGTTGAATACAGTTCACCATATCGATACCTATTCTTTTTTACTGTCAACATCATATAAATTATGAGTTCAAACATATTTATGCCAATAGCTGTTACTATGGCAACAAATCAGTGGACATTGAGAGTTAAAAAATGTCTCAACTTGCATCAAATTGATCAACTTTTTTATCAAAATCTTTTACAAGTTCTCAGAAGTTAAGATTTGACCTTCAACGACCTTGGTGGTGACATTTTGTCATGTTATGCTTTGTTATTTTTAAACTAATTTACTTGAAATCTTCAGGGTGAATGAGAAATGCAATTATTAGGCATAACAAAGTGTCATTGTGATATTATGTCACAATGGATAATAATTGTTACTATAGCAACATGAAAAATGGTGTTGCGGGTCAAATTTTATTTGACACACTTTTATTTTCTTTGAACTTGAAATTATTTGGTTGACACATATCAGTGATTTTGTTATGTTTTCAAATATTTCTAACTGCAGTTTCCAAGGTAACATCTGTATTGCTCTTTTTCTTATAATCCATCAGACTCTGCCAGTCACAATCACAACTCAAAATATACAGGGAATCTTTAAATAAAGCATCTGCAAAAACATGGACAGCAAATCTCAGCAAAGGAGTGCAAAGCTATTGACATTTCTGGACATTAGTAATACTTTTATTGTATGATCTGTAAAATGAAGCCCTCTGATTTGTTAGTTCTCGTGCTGTACCAAACTGTATTGCAACTGAGATTGTCCCCATTGATCATCTCCGTAGCAACGCAGAAAATATTGGTACGGAGGAGACAATCTCAGTAGGAATACAGAGAATACAGAAAATTTCCAAGGGATTATCTCCTAAGTAAAATGTATTGGCCTAAAATCACACAATAAAAACGTTATAGAATGATTTGAAGTGCAATACAAGGCCCAGAAAAAAATTGGGCCCAAAAAAGCCCCAAGGCCCAGAAAAGTGGGCATTTTGGTCATTAATGGGCCTTTTAAGGCCTTATTTTTTATTCACCTCACTTGGTTGTCATATGACAATTTTTCAAAATATACTAAGCACTTAAGTCTTTGACAGACTATATATAAGATAACAACTGTGAGCAATATCCCTTTTTACATGCCCTGGAATTTCAATCATTATTCAGTTTTTGTATTGGCAGTCTGTGCTAAAAAATCAAGATATATTTTATTGATTTTCAGTCAAAATATTGTTGCCATATATTTAATATGCTTCAATTTTTGTTGGCATCCATTTAATTTATCAATCATGTGTTTATCCTTGAATGGTGTTTGTTAAAGGGCCTTATTGTTAACAATTTGCTTCACTTGGTCACAGTGTGTCTTCTATCTGCAAGCAAAATACACTTCGTTTTAGATTTCAACAATCTGTGGCTATGATATATTAAGTCCTTGATTTGAAAATATTATCGGGATCAGATCACGGATCTTACAAATTCACGCCCCGGGTGAATTAAAAGTAGATAAAGGTACGGGGGATCCCATCGGGCCATAAGAGATTACATTTCACAGAAAATCATTTCAAGTGAAGATGTTCCTTGCATCAAATCCTACATCTGCATTATATTGCTCACATAAATGTGGGGTTGATTTTTTAAATCACCCTCACAATTACTTTTGTGGCCCCGAAATCTTTTTTGCGAAATAAGCTGGATTAGTGGTTATTTAGATGAAATTCAGGTTTATGTCAACTACTGACAAGGTTTTCAAATACAAGATTTAAATACCCAGGTAGGCAGGTATGTGTTGGTGTGATTTGAAATATCAACCTAACATTTAATTCATTATGATGCGAGTCCCTTTAAATCACTGGGGGTCAAGATCTGTGTCATGTGGGGGTGTGACCTGGCAAGGTCATGACAAGACAAGTTAATTCTATTTATTTGTTGGTTACATAGCGCTTACTATTTAATATGTATCTGAACTTCAACATAATAGCATCACAAATATAAAATATTAATATCATTAAGTTTATGGAACAATGTGATTAGGTCATATATTTGAAATATTTAATAATTCAATGTGTGGCGTGTCATGACGCCATATTTGTTTGGAAAGTTACACTTTAAATTTGGCCCGAAAACTGCTGAAAATCAATGTCTTCTAAGGAGTTTATGAAGATAGATTATCGACAGATATTGAGTATGCCAGAGATTCTATCCGAAACGAAACTAAAGAGGCTCACAGAGCATAAATACAGCGCAGAGGGCACGTCTGTATTGGATCCATTTATGCAACATTTTTGGAGATGGCTGGTCGAACAAATTCCACTTCATTGGGCTCCAAATGCTTTGACATTAGTAGGACTTATCATCAACATTACTACATGTTTGATTGTTATGTGGTATTCTCCAGATGGAAGGCAAGCAGTACGTAGTATTTTAAATATTTTTGTCATAGTTGGCCTATTGTGAATGTCTACTTTCATTTTATTTTGCAAGTTGACATTCTCAACAGCTGTTGTACCTTGACCTGAGATAATAAATAACTTAATGTACTCCCTGGCCTTACTGTATAGATTATGCTATGTTTATATTGTATACTGAACTTTGAATAGCATTGATAAGTCGGTGCTTTGTATATGGATCAACTTTTGCACACTATAGTCATGTACTTTAAATGGATAAATCCTTAACAGATACGTGTACTTCACCCTTCTTTTCACGAGTTCAAGAGGGGAGGGGGGTCAACATGATGATAGGCATCAGCCTCATTCTATACATGAGCCTATTTATGACTAAACTGTATGTTTAGTAGCATATATAATGTCTGTTATATTTAATTAATGAATACATAATTTGTTCCTTCACCAGTCTGTTATAGTAGTAAATCAATGTTTTTTAAGCCTATGAAAATTTTTGCATTTTAAGTTGCAGCAATATTAGGTCTCACAAAATCTTACACTCATAGCAAACAAGTAAACATTCGCTACAAAACGACTCACTGCTCGCTTTTTACCCTAATTGGCATGCTCATGTAAAAGTGCAATGAATTCAAAATGCCATCTCACAATCTGTTTCTCCACTTTACCAACAAATAATAGCTAATAGGCCACATTGTCATCAGGGGGAGTGAAAAAGGTTTAAGTTATATTCAATTATCTTTTTAAATTCTGTTTCCTATCCTGCCATGCTTGCTGGAAGTGAGAGAAAACCACTTTACTTCCTAAAGCTAAAGGGGCGGAACCCACCTGAGATTTTAAAAACAGGCTTGCACCCACATGAGCTTTCATTTGCACCCACTTGAAAATGAGAAAAATCATATAAAATGGGCATATTTTGACTAATTGTGAAAATGAGAATTTTGCACCCACTTGAGAAAAAATCCTGGGGAGAACACTGTAGTGTGTTCAGTAGTCCATGTCTATCAAAGAGCACCCACCCTTATCCAGTTCCAGGGCTATGTTTAGTCCTGTGCTCACATGTACATGTATACATTGTACTTTATCTGTATATTCACCTCTGTATCAAATTGTATCAGTTTTTCACAGAATGACTCTGATTGACTCACCTTATCACTTATATCAGTGCTTTCAGTAGGCTTGTCCAAAAGTGCTTCCCTGGGACTGATTGATTTTCCAAAATTGCGTCCCCCCTCAAAAAAGTGCGTCCCAATGAAAAAGGTTCCCGGGAATTCAAAGTCACATTTTTGCACTGAAGGAAAAACAATTGATGAAAAGTTTGCATCAGTTTTGTTACTTTTTGGCCAAGATCAGTGTTCTACACACGTCTAGTGGGTCATTAAATGATACAGATACCTTCATTTGAAAGAGATAACTCATATTCAACTAATATTCTTCGCATATTTCAAAGCAATTTGATCGCTCAGAAAGTTTCACTAGGAGCAATCTCCGTGAGGTTCCATTTTTTGTTTCATTTTTTTGCGCATGCGCAACAAATCCAGCAATTTGATTAGTTAAAATCAAAATTGGAAATGAAAAAGAAAAAAAAGCTCTTCAATTCAATGAAAAAACATCCTACCTATCAAAATAAAATACTTTATGATCAGCAAGCAACAAAAGTTACAAATTTAATTAAAAAAACCAAACTTGACCATGACCAAAATCTAATCAAATCTATAGATAATATGACCAAGAATGATAAGAATTACTGGAAAATTATTAGATCTTTCCTTGGAAACAATTTTAAGAAATCAGAAATAGCATGCATTATAGATGACAGAACTGGTATCCCAATTAATAAAAACCTGGACATAGCCAATTCTTTTATGAAATATTTTTCTTGTAAAAATCACATGGAGATCAACAACAACGACACACTACCAAACTTTCCATCGAGAACAAATTCCTTCATTATATCTGCAATTACCAACCAACATGAGATAATGAAACTTATACTTAACCTAGATACTTCAAAAACATGCGGTCCTGATAACATAACGAATAAAATGTTAAACTTAACAGCCCATACACTTTCAAAACCACTCTCTAAATTATTCAATAAGCTTTTGACAAAAAATATTTTCCCGGAAACATGGAAAATTGGTAGTGTCTGTCCAATTTTTAAAAAAGATGATAAGACAAATATAAAAAATTATAGACCAATTATGCTCCTAAATACCCTATCAAAGCTCTTTGAAAAAGTTCTTGCTGATCGAATTAAAAAACATCTTATACAAAATGATTTACTTTTTAAACATCAATCTGGTTTCCTGCCTGGCCACAGTACACACTCTCAACTTTTAGCTATTGAGCACTACCTGCAATGCACTTTCGAGGAAGGCAAAGCCTCTAAATCAATATTCCTTGATATTTCGGCCGCTTTTGATTGCGTACCACATAATCTTCTATTGCTTAAACTTAAATCTTATGGTATCCAAGGCCAACTGCTCAATGTACTCAAATCCTATCTGAATGACAGAAAATTCTTTGTTAATGTAGGTGGCGAATCTTCAAAACTTTCTGATACTAATTTTATTAACTGTGGCGTCCCACAGGGGTCTATTCTAGGGCCTATTCTATTTATCTTGTACATTAATGATATTCCTGACAACCTGGGTGGCCAGTGCTACATCTATGCTGATGATACCTCTTTACATTTTAAACTTGATCCAAAAGATCCCACTAATGTTGATGATTCTGTTAAGTCAAGCCTAGAAAGCATTGAACAATTGTCAACTACTTGGAAACTACAGTTTAAACCAGAAAAAAGTCATGAACTGATATTTCATAAACCTAGAACACGTATCAATGATATCAGTCCATCTAATCTTAATAATATGGAAATAGTTAGAGGTGATTCCCATAAACACCTCGGTTTCACGTTTGATCCCTGCTTAACACACAAGCACCATATAAGTAACATCTATGATAACGTAACAAAAATGTTGAATCCATTTAAAAAACTCAAAAACAAAATAGGATCTAGTCAATTGGAGACAATCTTCAACTCCTTCATATTGCCCCATTTTGATTATGGTACCATCATTTACAATAGTTCTTCCAAATATCTACTTCAAAGGCTCGATAGATTATATTATAAAGCTGCTATCTACTGCTCAGGTTGTATTCACGGGAGCAGCACAGATAAAGTACTAACGCTACTTCAATGGCCATCTCTTGACACTAGAAGAAAAATGTTTATAAACAACTTTATGTACAAAATAGTACATGGTCCTAACCCTAAATTTCTTGATGACATATTTGATAAATTCAAAAAACCAGAAACTCGAAACTTGCGTAACACTGATGAGTTCATTATACCAAAATGCTCTGAACGGTACAGAAATTCAGCGGTACCCTCTGCAATCTCCAACTGGTTAGCCCTGCCAAATACATTAAAGAGTAAAGCTACTATTCAGAATTTCAAGAAACATCAAAAACTGCTTTTCAAAAATCCAATAAATGTCATCACAACCAGCAAACTGAACCTCACAAGGAGCCATGAGATAATAGTAAATAAATTCAGGGCCGACTTTTTATTTAAGGCCCAACTATATGGTCATAACTTTAGCAATATTGACAACCCTAACTGTTCATGTGGACATCCACAAACACTTCTTTTTCCACTGTGCTCATTTGACACATGCCAGGGATGAATTTAATCAATACCTGAAAAACCTGATCCCTGAAATTTTTGACAGGCAAATCTCTCAGCATAAATATCTTGAAGTTCTGAAATATGGCTCAACTGAAATCACTATCGAACTTAATTCGAAAATGATGACCAGGCTAGCTTCCTTTATAAAAGCCAATATATGATTTTCCCTCCTTTAACATCTTTTATCTCCAGTAACTGTTTCCCACGCCAAGCACCCCCCCCCCCCCCACACACAACCCCAAAACTACTGTTAACATTGCTCCTTATATTATATTTCATTAAGTTCCATCAATTCTTCTATAATGCCATGCATGTATTTGGCGATTGAAGATTTTGTAAATGTTATGTAATGAATGAGGATAATTAATAAATAAATAAAAAATAAAAAAAATCTCCGTGAGGTTCCATTTTTTGTTTCATTTTTTTTGCGCATGCGCAACAAATCCAGCAATTTGATTAGTTAAAATCATTAAGACGCATGCACGATTAATAATCGCGGCCAATCATAGGACTCATACCGATTACCGCTCGGAAATCAACTACTAGTGATTGTCCAATCACATACCTCATGCTATTTTGATCGGAAATCAACTTCCGGGAAAGAAACTCTGAAAGAAAATTTTATTTCTTTTAGAAATAGAATATCCTTCGTTTATTTAGCGGATTTTGACCAAATAAAATACTGAAGGTAAGATTTTTATCAATACATTCATCCAGAGTAGATTTTTTTATATGACCTGCACTGCGTCCAAGTGACCCCTCATTTTCATTGTTTGGGGTCCCTAAAATAAAAACTGGGTCCTCTCCATTATGGGACGGCGTTAATGAAAGCACAGCTAATATGCTTAATTTCAGAAATCCATTCAAAAAGATGAGTATTTATCTTTTAGGGAAATAATCAATTTTCTGTTAAAGCACAACTGAAATACTAATTTAAACCTAAAGGAATCAATTTTATTTAATAATTGATGTATTTGGATATGTCATCTAATCAGTAATATGGCAACTGTTTCATTCTACTGGAAGTGGTAGCTATTTAATAATAATATGCAATACTGTATTTAAATGTTTTGTGACATATTTTGGCCCCCACGTGACTTTTCACTGGCCCCCATGAGGCATCAAGATAACAGAGATTTCTAAAGTGTAAACTAAAATCCCATGTTTAAAGATCAATTAGTCTACCATGGTATATATGTAAGTTATTGCAATGATACAAGCAGATATGGTTGAAATTACATTGTACAGTACATATACTTACTCAAAATCTGTCATGATTATATAAACCTATCATCTGGCTTATTTTACTAGAAGCCAGAAAGATCAATATGCAATCTGTCTTAGTATTATCTATATATACTATGTTGGTTTTGAAATTACTTCCCTGTTCATATAAATAGTCCAAAAGTCAGTTTGTCTGCAACAATGATGATTATAGTTTCTTCAGTAAAAGATATACTAGTAATTCATTACAATATAAAAAGTAAATTTAAGGAATTTTAATACTGAATAAGTTCAATTGAGATAAATGGTGAATAATATAGTATAATTGAGCCAATGACATACCATGATCAAAGTGCATTAAACTTTATGTAAAATATTTATATTTTGTTACTTCCAGGCTCCAAGATGGGTATATTTGAGCTTTGCTTTGGGACTGTTTATATATCAATCCCTTGATGCTATTGATGGAAAACAAGCAAGGCGCACCAAGACTGCTACTCCTCTTGGGGAACTGTTTGATCATGGATGTGATTCTGTTTCCACAGGTTTGTCCAACCAATTTTTTCACATCATTTGAATAAAATGGTTTCATCATGATATAATAATGATATGAAAGAATTCCCATAGGCCCACAGAAACCTAGTACTAAAGCTCAATTATTAGAAGTTCTCTGTTGAACCATGGGTTTTCAAGAAAGAATTGTACATGTACAGTAGGAAGGGCATGTTCTCAGTCTTATGGACTCCCCCCCCCCCCTGAGATGAGCCATAAGTATTAAAATAGGCTCTCAATATTCAGTATTAATAATAATAACTCTAAAATGACACACAAGTAGCTTTATATTATAAATTATGATATTAATTCTTCATTGTTGCCGCTTTATTGTTCTCATGACAAATAGTCATATGATCCAGAATGTAATCAAGTTATAGATCATTTTACTCCTCTACATATCAAGCTAGATACTTGTACAAATGCAAGTTGTAAATAAAACAATGATATTTAATATCACATATAGTAGAGTTCATCTCTAACTGCTAGATGCTAGATATTGCACTTGAATTGGAATCTGTTGAGTGTCCTCATAATTAGATATGTCATAAAATGAGTTTGAGTACAATCAGTAATTCACAATATCCTTTAATCAACAACTACAAGGCATAGTGTGTATGTCTGATTAAGAACATAATGAACTTCACTTATTATCTGCTATTAATAGAAATTTAAATTGTCCATTGACCCTGTTGAGTCTCCATATGTTTCTTTACATATTCCTCTACATGATTTTATTGTCCTTGCTCAATTCATACATGTCTAGTCTACATATTTGATAATAATTATTATTACATGCTGATTTCTCTATATAAATGTATATATCAACTTCGTTTTGTTCTAAATACATAAAACATAATGTACATTAATATTTGCAAGAGCATAGAAAATTAAATAATAACAGTTGTTGTAATAAATATACTTAAAATGTTATCCTTTCTGTTATTGGCGTTATCAGGTCATTGTTATTGTAATGATCACTTTATTGCAATATTAAGATATTGCATTTAGATCAGTCCATATTCATTGATTATTAATAAACAACAGAGCCAGAAACTAAAAAATAGTATTTAAGTGAATGTTAATGTTGTACATATTATTTTGCATCACATTTGCTCTTTTCTAATACAGTGTACAATGTAAACTATTTATATGAAACACTTCTCTAAATGAGTACCATGAAATGTGAATGCCTTCTTATCTGAGCAGTATCCTTATCTGACACTCTAAGTACAGAATACAATTATTGAACAAGAGGTTAACTGGTAATAATATACACACAATATATCCCTTTAATTTATGGCTGAATATTCTTCAAATTCCATCATCCTTTTCCTCTTGATTCATTATCAAAGGATCTGTGCCCATGACTCAATGCATTGTGGGATGATTTAACAACATATGAACTATGTTGTTTCCACACCTTAGAATGAGTACAGCAACACAAATGCAAATTCTATTCCTTATGATATTGTTTATAGATTTTCACTCAACTATGGAATTGAAATCATCAGTTTCACTAGAATCGAAAATAGTCCAGGGGCCGTGAATTCGTATGATCCCCAATCCAATCTGGATAAATTTTATTTTTTGGGATAAATCTTGGATTACTAATCCAATAAATATTTGGTGAATTTGTACGATCCGAGGATTATGAGGGGGAATCCCCAAGACTTATCCAATTTGCATTGGAATTCGGATAAAATTTATCCAAAAAGTAATTCGTACAATCCTGAGATTTATCCTGAGATTAATCTCAGGATCGTACTAATTCATTGATTTTTGGATTAATTCTTGGATTAATCCTACAATGCATCATTACCATGACGAAATTTATGACGAAATCTGATTGCGGATCGTGCGAATTCACCGCCCCTGGTGCATTAACGTGGATGTATGGTTGATTATTTCATGCAATACAATTATATGAAATACTGTCTTCTGATTGACTGGAATTGGACACTCCTTACCCTAGCTATGTGTGAATACGACATCATGCTAAAACATCATCCCAATTACTGTTTGCCTACATTGCTTTGCTCAATCAACTGTGTACATTATTTGACTATTCTCTCAATATCCCTAAAATCCATATAAATGTTCAAGAAAACATTCTAAAATGTATGTGGACACTTTTCTATGCTTGGTAATATTTCAGTCCCTCTGTACATCTGAGACTACATTTAACTAAAATGCTCTGTTCCTGTTTTGCAGCATTCGTTGTGATTGCATCAATGTGTGTACTCCAGATGGGTCAAAGGCCAGGGTGGATGTTCTTTGAGTGTTTCTCTGGTATGGTCCTGTTCTATATTGCTCACTGGCAGGCCTACGTCTCAGGAACCCTCAGATTTGGCATGTAAGTACATGACCATCATCAGCCATTTGGGGAAAATTAAAAAGCTCAATGTACATCTGTACATACAGCATATACTCATTGTTTAGGATTGTATTCATAATAAACCATATGCATGTACATGATTTGGAATTTTTACATGTAAATTAATTGTTCCATTACTTACCAATTAATGATTTGTATGTTTGCTTGTAGGATTGATGTCACTGAGGCTCAGTTATTAATTGTTCTAGCCAACTTAATAACTGCAGTATTTGGCCCTGGTTTTTGGAGCAATACAGTAAGTCCATGTTAAAAATATCTGTGCATGCCTATCATGTCTCTCACATTTCTCTGCAATACAGAGTGTTTACAACCTTCAGGCATATTCCTTGATGTTTTATCCTTTTCTGAATATGGCAATTTGTTGTTTTTGGTGAAGTTTAAATGTCATGACAGTCAAGTTGTAGAATGTAATGGGAAAGGTGAAGAATTAGCTTGGAATAAAGAGAAGATTCGAAATTATAAAATTCTCGGTTCTTCTCATCTTTGCCTCAAGGGTCTCGTATATATACATGTATAGTATTTTAATGAAGAAGGAAGGGTCTTTCTTAGTTTCAAATAAAACCCCTGTTTTTTACTCTATCTGTTCAAATATTGATAATGTAGTCATGGATTTTTTTATTTGAGATGTACAGCCCTGGAATAATTATATCACTGAAGATTGCCTCTTTAGATGTTCAATTTGAAATATTGTATTCATTTGTTTTGAATCATATTTGTAATTTCCTTGGATGAATCAAAGGGTAAATAGTGGCATGTATTACATCAATTCAGTCATACTCCTTGTTAGTGAAATATAAATAATTCAAGTGTTTGCACTAACAGATTGATATATTAATTTCACTTGTATGAATATTTCATGACACTTTTTTCATTTCTGGGAATTAAAACTGAGTAGAAATTGTTTGAATGTTTTTTATAAAAATTTTATTGGGTTATTGTTTTGTTATTGAAATATACTTTACATAAATAATTTGTAATGGTGTGAAGGGCCTAGGCTTTTCATACTTTGTATAAAGTATATTTTAAGGGAGTTATACACTGATTTAAACTGGTGAATTATTAATTGGGGTTGTCACATATTAGTCAATACACCCTATCCCCTTATATATTGACTCCTATAATGTTTTATGTTACCTTTCCAGGTCCCTATCATAGGATTGGAGTTTAAAATGTTGCCAGCATATTTCAGCATATTCGGAGCCATTTTGACTTGTAAAATGAATTTTAGTGTAATCTTCCTGCAAGGGGGCAAAGGAAAAAATGGCTCAACAATCGCTGTGAGTAATATGTTTTACATTATTAGATCAGTAAAAACAGTGATTTTCTAGGGTTGAATAAACTTGAATAATAAAAGTTGTTTCTGTAAAAAATCTATATACAAAAACGAAATGTAATGGCATTTTCTTCTTTCTGAAATGTAATTGATTACCCCTGTGGGGTGTACTTTGATATATACTTTGTCCCTAAACTGTCTTGTTTATTTTCCAGGATACAAGTGTGTTGTTTCCTATCATCCCCATAGCTGTAGTAGTGATGCTGGCATTCACCATATATCAAAAATCCCCTTCTCATTTATTTGAGAATCATCCATGTCTTTATACACTAGCATTTGGCATGATATGTGCCAAAGTCACCAATAGGCTGGTGGTAAGTATTTCTTTAAGATATCTTCAGTCATCAAGTTGCTGGTCAGACAGTACAATCAAATTTAAAAAACCTAGAAAAACAAGAGATTAATTTATACCATTTTAGCTCACTGAAGCTTTGAGAGAAAACATGAGTTAAAACGGTATAAATTATTTTAACTGCCCTGGTTGCCCCATAATTAAAGATACTATGTATGATAGGAGGGGGGGGATGTACAGTATAAGACCTTGATTCAAGATTAAGGATTGTCAATGGTGGGTCCATTTAGACATGTGTGAACATGGCATCAGTGTGTACGCCTATGTAAAAGTTCAAGTTAATTAGTCACTCTACTTGACCTACCTTAATTCTTAATGGCTCAATTTGATATGATCATCTTGAACATTCAACTCAAGATTTCCTCTACATTGAATAGAAACATTATATCCTCTAAGTTATTGAAAAAAGTATATCATGATAATTCAAAAATTGAACAATGTTCATTCAAAACAAAGAATTTGTTACCTATGTTTAAAAAGCTCATGGCATAAAGATGAGATAATCATCAATATATGGAGAAGAACTGAAAATGCAGTGAGGAAAAGGAATGCACGATAAATCCTAACATTCCAATCAATGATAAAATGCACAAATTTTGGATCAAAGGGGAGGGGAGGCATTATTGCGTACATTTATTTTGAAAACCCCTGTTATATTATTTGTGTGTCAAGTAGACCATTTTGATATTTGGACTCATGGATTGAAGCAAAATCAGCATGATTTGTCTGTCAGTCAGTCAGCCTGACTTGTATTTAAACCGAAATTACAATTGATCATGTTAATATTACTTAGATACTATATCTAGTAGTTTTATTTCTGTCTGATCAACTTGGTTTAAACAGTATACATACTATTAGCCTGTTGTATGTATGTATATATTTATTGCCCTTTATATAAAGGAGATACATGTATACAAATTATGTAAATGTAAAATTGAAAATAATCACTATTTACAAACAAACAATATTGCTGTTTTTTGACTAACGACGACGCCTAGCTACCGCGTAGACGCACGCCATTGACCAAGATTGGCCTAGCATCTAATTGTAACGCAATTATAAAAAAGTCACTATATTTACAAACACTCATTGTTTTGTTGTTGTTTTTTGGACTGACGACGACGCCTAGCTACCGTGTTTTGAAAAGTTGACAGATATTGTTTTCAAGCACTTTTATCTACATGGTAACCCTTTGGACAAGAACATTACATAATTCATCGGTATAATTAATTTGATCTATGTAATCTAATCACTGGACTTGTATTTATCAAATTGATTGTTTATATAGTGTGAGATATTTCAAGTTCTCTTGATCTATGTGTACTTAAAATATGACCTGTATTGACAGATAATAATAACAATTGATGACCTGCCTGATTAAAGACCCATGTTGTTTAATTGATAGTCCAAGAACTTCAAAGTGTATGTGTGTTTATGTTTCCAGGTAGCTCATATGACAAAAAGCGAGATGGCATTATGGGACCCTTGTTTTATTGGGCCTGGGATGTTATTCTTGAACCAATATTTCAACACAGTGTTGCCAGAGATCATAGTGCTTTGGATGTGCCTTGTAAGTAAACTAGTCAGAAAAGAAAATCATTAGGTCCATGTGTTTCTGTAAATTAGAGCTGAAAAGAGATGAATTGGCAAATATTAATTCTCATACTGTACATGTAGTTGATAACTTGTTCTGTGCAACTGGTATTTTTTTGAAGCACAGGAGTGATAGCAAAAAACAGATAAAATAACAAGAAAATAGCCATGACATGAAATAGAATGCTTTAAGCAAAACATCTCATAAAAATTGTGATAAATGTTACTCTTATAGCTAAAGTCACTCTAGCCATATGGCAGCTGTAGCTTCACAAAATCGATATAGAAATCTACATCATACTGCTTATCCCTATATTATGGTGCATATTTCTCTCAATTTTGGGAAGCTACGGCTGCTATATGGTTGGCATAGATCAAATGTGACTGAGGCATATCTCTTCCGTAGTCTCTTTTGCACCTTAAGTATTTTCATGTGCTTAAAATCAGTTCCCTGCAGAGATTCTTTATTGATTGTTTTGATGTCAATTAAAAGCCAATATTTTCGTTTCAGTTTTACTGCACAATCGACCTCATGAGATACTGTGCCTCTGTGTGTATAGAAATATGTGACTATCTAAATATATATTGCTTTGATATAACATCAACCCCCAGTCCCTCAACTCCAAAAAACTCAACTAGAGATGGACAGCGTACTCAGCGTGTCACAAGATCTATGACAAAACAACCAACGACGACAAGATAACAACAGGGATTTTAGTCATCATATTTTTATTGCTTTGTATTACAATACAAAGGCTACCTTTAGTATTGAGACAATATTACGTAGGAAAGAAGTAGAAAGCAATCCATAGACCAGGTTTGGTGACAGGAAATAGTTGTAATCCTCAATGGTGTTAATTTTTGCAGATTATTTCACTTTCTTAATTTTTTGGGATTTATGGGTACCATGCTATGTAGATCATTCCCATAGACTTAGTTAGCATTTGCTTAACTTAATTTTGATACAAAATGCAAATAACTGCAAAAATTGCCAATTAAACTACCATATTTATTATTATGATAACAAGGGGTTACAGTTATATCTGAGAGTCAAATGGAAAGCTTCTGGTGGTACAGTAAAACCAGTTCAAACAGACATTGTTACGTTATATTGCACAGTAAATAGAATTGACTTATAGTGGCTATCCGTATTAAATAGCTATGATTGCAGCGTGCCATTGACAGGTATGGGAATACTTATATGAAGATTTCACGGTTTTACTGTAGTACTTTGGGTCTATTACACAAAACAATCTTAACTGAGAAATCCCTGTATCTATTGTTGTAATCGTGGAAATTATGATGTCATAATGAGAGAACAATAGACTTAAGAATTACTAAAGTTAACAATGTTTCTAGAAATGTGCCCATGGTTATCGATTTATTATTTTTCATAAAATATGTTGAGCAAAAGACATCAATTATGGTAAATGTTCATCGCATGTAAAGCTTGATGGGAATCCTAGCCAGATCGACAAATAATGATTCAAATAGCAATTAATATGACAAAATAAGTCGTCATACAATGATTTGAATAATTAGTGCTATTAATTGCTATAATCAGTCAATTTAGGAACCATTTCCATTACGGAATGCAAAAATGTGCTCATTGCTATACCAAAATTGAAAAAAAGTACCCATCCTAAGCCGAGGAGAACCCAAAGTTTGATAAAGTGAATTCCTGGGGAAGGGTTCATGGAAAGGAAATATGAGTGTTGCAGTAATATCAAATAATATCAAATGATATGTACACGATTTTGATTTCAGGGAGAACAAAGTATAACCATGCATGTGTTTTATAGGGTGCTGTTGAATACATTTAGCTTGGAAAATTCTGGAATGTTCTCAAAAAAATATCAGGGATGATTTGTAGTGCTAGCATAATATTATAATACAATCAACTTATACTAGATTAGTAGTGGCTTTTCATTTCTAATCATTTTAAATGTAAAAATTGTGTGAAATGCACTTCTTCAAACAGACTTCAAAAATACCAGAACCTGTCTGGTACTTTTGAATCACTCAGTATATGAGCTCCCTGGTACAGTCCAGAGTCCAGTGAGTGAACCCCTGTCTGTTATCTAGTAAGAAGTCCAAAAGATGTGTCGTTGTAAACATCTCAGTATTTCTTTGCCAAGAGCAGTTCCCCGTAGCATTACATTTACATCGTGTCTCCAGTCCCCAGATGTGCAATGTGCATTGTGTTTGTGCACACAGTGTATTTTCTATTTATATGTATTATAATGTTAGAGCTGCCAAGTACATGCCATGCTATATAATATATACATGTAGTAGATTGATACCATACTTGATATGGTATTCTCACTTAAGTTTTTTGCATAATTGTAGATTCACATATTTCAAAGTGAGAATTACTAGAAAGTTACATCCGAAAAGTTTTCCTCTGTTAACCATATTTGTAATTGCTTTCTATAATACCTATGATTTTAAACTATGAATGTATGTTAAGTTTGGATTTTGGAGGATTTAATATTCAATGACGATCAAAGTTTATAACTAGTCTAGAGGTAACCATGGCAATTAAAAAAACAATGCTATTATGGAGTGAGTAGCACATTTGCTTGAAAATTAATATATATTTGTTGATAGTTGTAGTTAAGTTAGGCCTGAATAAGTAAATGAAATGCTAGTATTTTCTCCATGTTAGCATATTCCATCTGGAAATATATACGTATTATATTGTATTTTTTAAGGATTCACACCTGAATAAACATATACACACATAGAAATAAAAAGAATCATGCATCCTTGCTTTCTTTCTACAAAATGCTTAACATAGAATTTACTTATTAAAGCCTTTAACAAGTTTTATTCTTAGTTCTAGGCCATGCTTTAGTTAAATCATATGACTTGGTTTTAGTCTAGAGGTACACCTATATTTATATAAGTATGAAGAATATATTTAATTATGTTAACATGCGTATGCTTGACATAATCTTTGAAGTGTAGATATTAGCAAAGGTGCTGTATCCATAAGGTCTATGAATGTCTCTAACTGACCCTTTGGGGTTTGGTTTAGGGCCTTATTGGTACTGTATCTTTACAATGAAAGTTGCCATGTTGGCATACCGTAGAACAGATCATATAACTAAAACCAGAGATCAGTTTAAGATTGAATAATGTTTGTGTGAAATATATGGATTTATAGCCTAGGGCTCAACCTAATGAAATGAAACAGTTCAAATTGAGCTTACTGCTTCAAACATTGGCCCTTTTCCTGAAAGGCCATATTTGGGGATGTGCTTCTTACTATATCTCCATATATGGTGTTATATTTAGTGTGTTTTCCTACATTCCAAAGAGTTGTAAATCAACATTTTAGTCAATGAATCATTTGAACCCATACAATGTTTTTGTCAAATATGTATTGGAAACATAATTTTATGTCAAACTCTTAATTGGGAATTATTCTGGAAGATAGTGTCCAAATGTTGACAGTTAAAGACAAAGTTAGTTTTGTTGTGGTGACTCCCCCCCCCCTCTCTCTCTCTATAGGGAAAATGTTGAATTTTATTTACTTGAATTTCACTTAAAAATTAACCATTCACCCCTGCCCCACCCCCACTATTCCAATATAACAAATTTAGTCCTTCACAACTGTTGACTATTGTACACAATCCCATTTGTGTCTGCATCAGGCAGTGTCGGCATTAGTGTCAGTTTTTCTAGAGAGAACTGAATTCAGAATAGTTTCAAGAATCATTCTCCAATTGCTAGTGGTCTATTGTGTTTTCAAATGGAGTGTGTACACTAAAAGGGAACCTGATATGCATACCCACGAAGGTAATTCCTTTAAAGGAGATTATGCAGTTCATGCTATGTAATGATTTACACTGGTAATGCATAATCTTGATTGGTTTGTTTGATAATGAATATTCAGCAGTTACATTTCATTTATGCAAAAACCTTGTTTTCATCAGAATGGCTTCATATGGGTGGATGTAAGACTATGTTTGTTTATATGTTGTAAAGTACATATAGGTTGTGGGATTGTTTGATACAGCTAAGCAAGGTTTATTTTCATCAATAAATTATGGAGAATTGAATAAGTTTAGCAAGAACTGAAATATGCTTGTATATTTCCTCTATTTTCCCATGAAAAACATGTAAGAATGGTAGATTTCTTCTGATTTTCTTGTAAAAAGCATGTGCTGGTCCTTGCAATATCATCGTACGAAAACTGGATTCTCGTTCAGGAAATAGTAGGATATAATGTATGTCGATGTTACTACTTCGTGACATCACCTTGGTTTCAGCATAAAACAAACTAATAACAAACCTTATTTTAACTTATTCTTGCATTATCTGTTTTCAGTGCTTTCCATGTAGAATGTTCTCAGGTGAAAACTGACAAAATAGTTTACGTTTCATACATTTTTTATATGAAGCATTTTACTCATTAGACTCTGTGTGACATCTCTATGTATTGAATGCATAGAACATTTATTACGAGGCTAGAATACATGACAGATTATATACAAATAAATTTTCTATGTATTTATAGATGTCACACCTGATGTTTACCCGCCTGCAACTTGGAACATTTCTTTATATACAAATGTTTCTAAAGTAAAAAAATAAAATAACCCTAATGTTTGATAGTACTATTTCCTTTAAAGTATTCATCAGAGAAAATATAAGAATTTGCTGTGCAAATATATAAAAATAAATATTATCAAGTATTAGTAATTAAAGCTTGAACCAAATGTGTATACAGTACTGCCTAGTAAAGTATATGCCTGAAATAAACCATAAAATATAAGTTTCATCTTATGTTAGTTTTTTAGCTATAAGTCCTTTGATTTACCATTAGCTTAAATTCGAAATTGTCTGACCATTTATTTCTCAAATCATCAGTCGCAGATCTGCAAGTAATCAACTTATTCTCTATTTTACAATAACCTTGTTCAAGCAGTTGATGATTTGGATAGACATCGAAATAGTTAATTTGGCCAAATCGTATCATTTGGGTTTGTTTTAGTGTCGTGAAGGTGAAGAGTTGAAGCCAGTATGAGGCCAAAAAGGTCAAATATTGGTGCAAGGAAAGGCCCATGATCAATAATTTTGGAGTCATGGAAAGCTAACAGAAAGTAAATTTTCTGTATTTATGGCATAGTTAGATGTTTTAGGTTTACTCATATAAAGCAGTTTGCATTTTCAACAGCTGGATTGAAAATAAATGTGAATAAAATAATAAAATATGTGTTCAAATTATTTGAGTAATTTTTGACAAATCAAACAAGGCTTTCAAAATGCAAAATGTCACCACTTGCCATTTGTTATGGACGCCTTCCACAAAAACAAGTTGAAGACAATATCAATATGTTAACAATAACAATATCTCAATATATGATGAACCTTCTGTAAAAGTGTAAATAGAAAGATCACATGCTATTGTTATTTCAGAATATAACATCAATACCTGATTTTATCACTCCCATTGATATTGGACAACATCCAAAATTCGGGTTCAAAATCAACAAACTAATTCAATTGTTTATCACATTCTATATTTATTCCATCTGTACAAGATATAATAAATCTTTGTCAAAAATGAATAACATATTTCTTATTATAGTATTCATATTATTATAAAAATAATACTGTCTACAATTTAAACATTTTGTTGACCCTGTGGAATACATCAATGATTCATGTAATAAATTTACATCTGTGCGTTTAATACAATTTGGAAACGAGACTCTGTTCTGTAATCGCAATATCCATATTCATCATGTTCTTTATCAAAAGGTGTATTATATGCATGTGTATTAAGATTTGCACAGATATAGTACAAACACATGCTAGTGCTTATAACTATGTGAGACAAAATATTTTTGGATTACCTCATATCTTTGAGCATTTGTGGATTGCTTTATTGCTTATTCACCACCACATTTATCAATTTCACAATTCATCTTCAAGGATACAAGAAAGGTTCTTACATTGCTGCAACTATACTTTAAAAGCTATAACTCAAATAAACATATATTTTGCATTGTTATTTTCTGATGGTTATGTTACGCATTGCTAATAGTCAAATATGTGGAAGTTTATTTCATGATATTCGGAATGTTGGTACAAAGGATCCTGATTTCATCTGTGGTTTGTGATAACCATATACCAAGGCGCCATCTTTTTACAACTTGGCAACCTCCTCA